GGTGCTCCAGGCGACAGAGGGGAGGGAGCACCAGCCAGCAGCCCGGATAGGAGCATCCGAGACAGGCAGGCGAGCAGGCGGGCAGGCAAGGGCCGGGAAGGGACAAAGGCATCGGGTGAGTATCGGCGAAGGCCCGGCACACCGGCCATGCGCCCTGGACATACCATGTATCCGCGGCCCTTCTCGACGTGGTACACGCCGGACCGGGCAAGCTCCAAATTGTGCCGCTCATTGGCCACCGGCCGGATGGAGTAGTGAACATCCCCGGCGTAGGTTCCGCGAATCTTCTGGGTCAGCTCGGCCAGCTCCTCCGGGGACAGGGCGCTCGAGAGGGTGGTCAGAGGTGAGGGCCCCTCCAGGTCGGTGGGGTCTGTGGCGCCGGCAGCAGGGCCGATGGCCGTGACCGACAGCGCGAGGCAGCTCCACACGAGCAAGGCCAGGCCGGCCGCGCGCATGAGTTGCCCGTCGGCCGGGCGGCCGGCCCGGCGGGGGACACCGCCCAAGTCAAGGGCCATGGTTGGGGAAAGAAATCAAGCTGACAGGGCAGGCACCCACGCGGCATGCAGCACAGGCAGCACCCATACACACACGCGCGCGCGAACGCACACACACACACACACACACACACACACACACACGCGCACCGAGAGGGGGTTGCAGGCGGGGCAAGGCAGGAGGACAGGGGACCGGCCGAGGGGAGGGGCGCTGGTACACGGCGGACCAGGAGCGATACGCACAGCGCCGGGTGACAGGCAGGGAGAGGCGTGTCCGGGGGAGGCAACAGGGGGAAAAGGAAGAAGAAACACAACCGGAGTCTCGGATATGTTGTGGAGACGGAGGGGAGGAGGGACAGCGGTAGCAGATGCTTGATTGTGGTTCCTAGCTGAACAGGGGCTGGGGCGCTGCACGAAAAGGCCCGCTGTGTGGTGGCGGCGGCGGCACACCAGCCAGCAGCAGCCTTGGCGAGAAGGACCGCCCCGCCCTGCCAGGCCCCCCGTCCGCGGCGCGGCCACCGTAGCCGGCTGCGGGACACGGAAAAAGGCAGGGAGGAGCCCCACAAGAGGGGCACCGCCGCGCCCGGGGGCGAAGCCACACACGGGGCCCACCCGGCACAGAGCGTGGCACATTGCTGGTGACGAGTACTCCGGCAGTCGGAAGGCCCGGCCGGGGCCGATCGGTCGCGTGGATCGCGCACCCCCCCTCGGAAAAGATCAGCCTCCCCCGGGGCAGAAGGCCGCGGCGGATCTCCTCCGGAGCTTGTCGAGCGCGCCCGCGCCCGCGCGCCCGGGGCGCGGCGGCCGGATTCCATGCAACCTTTACGTTGGGATGTGTGATATACCGCGGGGATACCCTGGTGTGAGGTAATGTCTGACTGGGCTCCCTGGCGGCCGTCGTATCATCCGGTCGCCCCCGGCCCCCAAGCCGCCGCCGGGGCCGGCGGAGATGGGCCGCCAGGTGCCAACGATTCTGTCTCTCGGGGGCGGGCCGCCCGGGGAGCGGAATTTCCGCGCCCGCGAAGGCGCAAGCCCGGCGCGGCTGGCGAGAGGGCCCTCGGGCGGGCATTATCTCGCGCGGGGCGGGTCATGGCTGTCCGGTTTTTTGTTCCGTGTTCCCCCCCGGGGGGAGGGGGGGGGGGGGG